CTTCATATACCACCTGACACACATTTCTCGTCTTTCCCCCCCTGGCCACTTCCCAGTCCTCCTGTCCCTTCTGCACGTTCTGATAAACGGTCAAGATTATACTCATGATATCCATACATACTCTTAAGTTCTTCTGATACTCTTGACTTCTATACAGGGGCACTGTCCCCCATAGTGCTCTCCATACTTCTCTCTCTCCACTGTACGGACACTTCTTCTCATCCCTTCTTCCCCCTAATGACCCCGTGGCTTCCGGTTTACATGATCCGGGCGCGTAGGCCCTTTTCCCTTCTTTGAATGCCTCTAAATTTGATAACCATACCTCTATAGCCTTACAGAGCATCCTGGCTCTCAAATCCAAACTTGTCAAGTTGCTGGGATATCCATGTTTCCAGATCTCGCTCCTTTGTGCATCTATGGGGGCTTCGTTTTTGGTTGCTGTTTTCGTTAACTGACATAATTTCAGCGATTCAGGATCCTCGTGACACTCCTGCCCTCCAGAGGTGTGGTTTGTCAGTAGTTCGGTGATATAGTTACTAAAGTTCATCTTCCTGAACTTGTGTCCTACTACTTTCCCTTTTCTTATGTCGGTTGCTCCTGTCCTCTTAGATACGTCTCGCCCTTGTTGACAGTCACTTAGGAAGGCTCCCCCCCTGAAGGTTATACTGCTTAATTCTTCTTCTATTCTCCCACTCCTGACTCTCCAGGTGTTCGTCTGTAGAGCCCTCCGCTCCGAATTCCTCCTGTCTCTCGGTCCGGATTCTTCCTCGGACCTCAGGGCCGGATTGCTCCCTTTATCACTTCTTCCTCCTATCTTGGGTAAAAGGTCTCTCTCTCCTGCCCCTCCTGTCCCCTCCTCTTCTGGATCTCCCCCAAGCTCCTGTCATCTGCGTTCGCTCCTGCCCTCTACTACCTCTGCCCTGCTTGTTTTTCCCTGTGGGTCCTCTGGGTCCTCCTCCTTTTTGACATCCCTGGTCCCACTTCATTCTGTCCTGCCTCCGTCTGCCTCTGGCTTGGTCGGGGGAGGTCCCTTGGTTGTCGCCTGTTGCTCCATTGTTCGCTCTGTACTTTCTCCTGTTTCGTCGGCTGTACTCCTCCCCCTTCTATTTCGCCGGTCCATGCCCCCCCTCGTTGGGGACTATCTCCTTTCCCGTCCACTGTGATGTTGGGCTCTTCAAGCTCCCATAGCGCGTCGGCGTGCTCTTGCCTGTTTCCCACGTCTTTTATCTTCACTTCTGTTCCAGGGGCTTCTCTGTCTCCCTCAGTTTTGCAAATTCGCCTCCCTCGAGTGGTTTCTCTGGTGTCCATGCATCCTCACCATCATTGGTATTAGGCCCTCCTCCATGGTGGGAAGTTCCTTTGTGGGTGTTCTTCTACCGCTCCACGTTTTTTATGGATAGTTGCTTGCTTCTTCCTTGGATTCTTTCTGCCGCTTATGACTGATATTTTCCATGGTTTGGGTGTGCTCAGACGATTCGCGCTGGCTTCTGAAAGTACTCCTGGGTATCTTTCATGGAAAATCCCTGGCCTGGCAGATTCGGAAGGCGCCGCCTTATTCCTCCTTGTCCAATCTCTTATTTAGTTCGCCACATTTTGCGGGTTTCCTAGCTTGTTTCCGGTTTCTTGTTTTTCCCCTCTGGAATCTTATCCCGCCCCTCCTATCTCCATTTAGATTAGGGGTGCTGAGTCCCTACGTTCGCTTCTTTCCTAGTCGAATCCCTTGGCGGAAATTATCAGCTGTGTCCTTGTTTGTCATCCTCCCCTGTACCGCTTGGGGCCTGATTTCTGAACCCTCCCTCCCACCTGTCCTCCTGTTTGCTGGTCTTCCCCCCTCCCTCTCATTTGCTTACTATGAGGTTGCTCCGAGATGACTCTTAAGTCGCTGGGCTACAGCTTATTGGACAAGTACCTCAACTTCTCCTCCGTAATGTTGGGTTTGCGCTCACCATGGGTCATCAGGTGCCCTGTTTCTTTCTCTTACTTCCTTGTTCATTGCTTCCAAAGGCTTGAATACGGCCATTACGGATCCCCTCACACCCTCTCTCGTCCTGCCTCTTCTTTTCTTCTTCTGGGCCCGCTGGATTATATGGGCCGTTCCTACTTCTGTCCCTGTTTATTCTTTTTCAATCCCTCCTGTTGGACAATTGGTTCATTTGTTCCCCGATTGCCCTCCGGGGGGAGGTTACTCCTCTTCCTCCCTCGTCCTCCCCAAATTCCCCCTCTCTCTGGGTTGAGATCCGCCCTCGGCCCGCTCTTCGGGGTATTTTTATCAAACCTACTACTTCTCTGGGTCTTGCCTCTGGTCACTAAACTTCTGTTCTCGCCCCACTTCTTCTTTCAGATTTTTACTACACTCACCCTTTGCCGGTTCCCTTGTCCTTCACTCAGGCTCGCCGGTTCCGACCCCCTGCCCTTCCTCGACCAGACGCTCCGTCTCCGTGCGCCCGCTTGGGGCAGGTTCTGATTCGTCCCCGGCCGCTGTTATGTCCCTGGGGTTCCCCTTTTCTTTAGCTGCCTCCCACTTTGTCCCCGTGCGTCTACTATCGGACCCGCCCATCCATTCTAACGGTAGCAGTAGACACTAGTGGGAGTTCTTGCCTTGTTCTTTGTCTTTCCTTGTCCAGTTCCTTCTGGGCTTCTGATTCGCTCCCTTCATGTGTGCTGGTTCTGGGCGTTCCTTCCGGAGTTTACAATTCTGTTTTATCTTCTCTTGGGCGCCTCCTACTTCCAGAGTTCGCTTCCGTCACTTCTGCTTAATTTGCCGTTGGGTGTCCTTCTCGACCTTTTCCCTTTGTTGGGTTGCCTCTCGGTTTGTCTTCCTAGTCCTCTTAGCCTTGACACCTGCCCTTCAACTTCTTAGTGCTAAGGCTGGCCACAGATTTGGACGGGGTTCCTATTCTTTATTTATCCACTCTTGGTTTCTGAAACCCTCCCCTCGGTCCACTCTTAGAGTTCTCTCGGTTTCTGTCCTTTTACTTCTCCCTCCCTTTTCTTCTTCGGGCTTTAAGGCCTCCAGCTGGTGAGTCCTCCCGTGGCTCGTTCTTGAGGTTCGCGTGGTTTTGTTTTTGAGACTTCTATGGGCTTGACTTTTTTTTATCCTCGTCCAGGGTATCTTGCTGGTGACTTTTCTTCCGCTATGTTTCCTGGGAAGCGTGGCTCTCTTGGTTGTTCTGTCGCCGGGGGCTGCTTCTTTATTAGGCCATAGTTTATTCCTTAGGCGTTGTTCGTGTCCCCCTCAGGAGTTGCCGCAACCGCTTCGGTCCTTTTATTTGTTGTTCCTTTGGCCTGTGGGCACGTTCTTCTTACCCCACCTGACGATTTCTCATTAGTTGGTGGGTCATCCTCCTTTCTGCACCTTTCGCTTTTGTTCTAATTCTTTTGTTCGTCCTCTGCCCCCCTCGTCATTCTGGTCCTTACTTCTTCTCTCCCTCTGCATTTAATGTGTCATGCTTCTTTGGATGGTTTGTTTCTCGTTTGTATTTCCTGCTGTATTAAATCACCTTTACTATATCTTAGGCTTCAAGATTTTGCCATATCTCAACCGCCTTGTTCTGCGTACTAGTTAGTGGACCTGTTTCCCCTGAGTTTTTCTCTTTTCCTTCGGGGGTGGTTTCGTTGGTTGGTTTAGCACTGGTGTGGCTGTGCCAAGTTTTCCGTGGAGTGTAGTATTTGAACTGTCACTTGGGGGAATCCTTAGTCTTTTGGGGTTGCTGCCTAATTTTCAGGTTTAGGAGTGATAGATATTTTGTCCAGCCATTTTGACTTCATCAGGCGGCGGTCGAATTCGGCATAGGCTTTAAATACTCCATTCACTTTCTTAGGTTCCGTTTTCATCAGACATCCTTTCAATTTGCTCTGCGCTTGTATGTGTGAAGGTATCTTGATATTCATCACAATGCTTCTGACTTGGCTGCCTGTTCTTCGTAGGGGCTGCGTGTGCCATATTATTCCATTGCAACTTCCATCGACTCGGCTTGGCACTGTTTTGGTTTGTTATTCCTATAGTTTTTGCTTCTTATTTTTTTCTCACGAAAGAATATTGCCCTCCGGAATACGATTTCTGGTTGCCGTATGGTTCTATCTGAGAGGAGCGCCGTGTTTGTTTTTCCTCCGAGGTGCCCGATAACTTTTCTTGTAGCTTCCTCTTCCGTTTGGTCACCTGACGGGGGGTGGACTTCTTTTTCTCCGACTTTATACGTGTACTTCTTCGTGCTTTTTCCTTTTTCTCATCTATAAATATGATGATACCTCTGGTTATTGTGATTTCTTTTTCTCTTGTCGCTTTCTGATACATCTTTCCTCGCCCTCCTGTGTCATTCTTGATTCTTCTCCTTCCTTCTCTATGCTTTATTAGGACCTCGTCGGGGGCCTCTTTCTTAAGTCAAGGGGTGTTTTCTCACCATCAAAATTCTCTCTTGTTCATTAGGACTGGGGGTTTTCTCTGGTAGAATTCATTGGGGTGTGAGCGGATGATATATACTTCCTCCCTAGCAATTGTTTGGTCCCCGCTCTGGGGGCCCTTTCTCATCCAGATCCTCTGAATATACACACTCCGGCCGTTCATGCCAATTGACTTCTGTTTGGGTTGGGACATATTTGCCCATGTTTGAGATGGGGACTTGTCTGGTTGGTGTTTTTCCTGTTTTTTCCCTTGAGGCTTGTTTTGGGGGGGCCCTAGCTTCTGTCTTTGATGGATTCTGAATCTTGTGTGTTCATATTTCTTCGTTCCCTTATTACGATTGGGGATGCAGCGGAGGTTTTTTATAGCATGGTATTTTCTGACCATGGTGGGATTCTTCCCTCTTTTTAGGTCCTGGGTGTCTGCCGCTTCTTTTGCTTCGGAAAGACTGGCTTAACTCTATAGATTTTCTTGCAGTAATTATTTTTTGACTGTTTGCGAATCTTTTTTTCTTCTCTTGGTTTTTCCTTCTGACATCTGGGCGTGTTTTTTGGCGTCTTTGCTGAGGGTTTTACCACTATTTGTATCCTTGACCCGTGCTAGGCGTCATCGTATGGATATCCTCAACTTGTCCTTTGTTTGTGATGAGTCCCTGCCTCCTCCTTCTCCTATTAGATTTGGACTCCCTATTGTGGTGATGCAGCACCCTTTATGCACTCATTCCTTTTTCTTCTTCCCTGCCTTGTCCAGCGTCCGTTCCCCTGGTTCATATATATTCCCTCTTCCCCTTATATTTGTCGGAGCTAAGGACTTCCGCTTTCTTGTCTTGTTCTCTTTATCGGAGGTGGACATGATATTCCCCCTATTCCCTGGGCACTATTTCGCTGGGAGATTGTGACACGGATATTCGGTAGTCGCTTCAGCATTTCCTTATTGAAGCGCCAGCACAATGAGAATTCTTATCTGTCGGTCTTTCTTACTTGCATTTTGTCCTTTATCTATACTTGTATACTTTTAGTTTGTATTGTCGTTCTGACATTCTACCTTCCCATATTTGTATTATGTGTTCCTTTTGGATATTAGGTCGTTTGTTGTTGGGGTTCAATTCTACCCTGGAGCTTCCCTTCCTGCTGGTTCCTTCATCCCGCTTCTATTTTTTTGGGGCGTTGGGGGTCACTGAGCATTTTTTATCTTCTTGATTTCATACGCTCTCGTTGTGATTTTGCTTCTTCTTCCGGTTTGGGTTGGTACTCGTGTACCTTCTTTTTCCAGTCTGACTCCTGTGTGGGGTTTCAGTTGGCGGGGAGATTTCCTAAGTGTTCCCTTCCTTTCTACTTCTCTCATTCCCAAGATGTTTTAGGCGCGTGTATCTGGCTGGTTCTTCTGGTTTTTGAGTACATTCTCTTTTCCGAAGCCTTCCTCCTCCCCTTAATCTAATTTGTTTCTTTACCCTTGTGTCCCTTAGAGCTTCTTTTCCTAGGATTCTTGGTTTTTTTCGTTGTTGTAGTCGTCCTTTTATTTTTTGGTGCTGCTTGTCATCCCTGCCACTAGTCTGGCGCTGGAAAAATTCAGGTTTATATTTCCATTTAATCTTCACACTCCTCTGGTTTAGCATCCTCCCTTCGGCTGCTGGGGGTTCGCTCGCCTCTTTGTATCCTTGCTCTGGATGTTTCTGGCATTAGTCTGGTCAATTTTCTCCTATGGGGATTTCTTCGGTTTAGTACTTTCCGAGGATCCTTAATACTTCCTTTTGAAGTTCTCCCGTTAGGACAGGCTTCCCTCTTCCTTCCGTTTCCTCTGTCCTACACTTTAGGGTTTTTCCTTATAGTGTTATTTTATCCCTTCAATTATTTTCGTTGGGGGATTTAACTTTATTGACTTATCCACTTCTTCCCCCCCGTCTATATGGACTCAGTTGTTGTCAGGAGGTAGGGGCCCCGGGGTTAGAAATTTTCTGGTACTGTCTCATTGGTTGGTTCTCTATTCCGCTTCTGGTTTTTGTTTCCTTCTATGCTGCGCGATGGAAGCGGCCTTTTCAATAATATGGTCATCATTTGTCATGTTTTTTCCGGATCCCCCACTGTGGGGTGCCTCCTGGGATTTCATTTTTCCCTAAGTCTCCTTAGTTGTTAGGGTCAGGTCTTTTTTGTCCCTTTTCTATTTCGTCGCTAGCTTCTTTTTACTTGTCTCTGCTTTATACCATAACTCCTGCATGTTTCTTTGTTGATTTATGGATTATTCCACTTGTGCTACTCATTACTTGTCCCCTATATACATACATTTGTATATGATCCTATAATGGCCCTCCGCCATGTTGTTCCCGTGCGTTTTATCAGGTTCTGCATTTTTATTATTAGATATTCTCTTTTTCTAACTTTATACTTCACAGTTATCTAATATATCTTTTACTGAACTTTCCTTAACTTTTCTTTTTATATATATCTATTCTTAGTTATTCCACACCTCCTGGGGTTTCCTTCTGTTTCATTTCCTTTTGGCATATATACCAGTACTATTCTTATTGCAATTTTACCTGTAGTTTGGAGTTTGCCGATTCTTGTGTTCATTGTTCTAATAATTTATAATCCTGATTATTGTATTGTAGTTCTTTTTGCTCGCATTCTTCCATGCAAGGATACTTTCATTTCTACCCCTTCTTTAATCCCTTATGATTTACTTTTCCTTGTTCATCTGTGGGGTCTTTCCTCTCTCTCATCGTACTGTTCCTTGGGCTGTAGTCCCTGGTTACGTCATAATATATTATTGTATATTATCCATAGGGCTTATTCCTGCAGAGGTATACTTTTCCTAAAACTGGGATATTTTTCTTCTCTTGTTTTTCATATTTTTTCTTTCTGCTGATTCTTTCTGTTGCACTTTCTACTTTTTCTTCTTTTCTTATTAATTCCTGTATATTCATCATTCTCAATATGCCCTTAGTATGTCTCTCTCCATAGGTGTCGTTCTTCCCTATGCCCCATTAAACCCTGCTCAACGTCTATAGTTTTGTCCTTGCCTTTACTTCGTAGTCTCTCCCCGTTGCTTCTGTTTTTGTTTTCATTTTTCCCCCTTGGTCAGACTAGTTGTGTCTACTCATTGGCGCGTATGGCTTAATCTACTCTTTTATGGCGCAAATGTTATAGTCTTTTTTTCCCTCCTTCTGTTTGTTTGTTTGTTCCTTTCTGTTATCTTTTTGTTTCTTCTATAATATACACTATGTACTATCAGTAAATTCCTAACCATTATATGATGTTCCCCCGCTATTTTATATCCTCTTGCTTATCTACTTCTTAGCAGGTCACGATTGCTGTTTCCATAGAATCTCTCATGATAGGCTATATAGCAAAGAAAATATCATATAAGCCACAACAGTTTGTACCCAACCATTTATACAGCTATTCTTCTTCCACCTGGGGGTAAATGTATATTACGATAATGTATCTAAACATAAATAGTCCCCTGTTCATTCAGATGATCCCCACAAGAACTCACCAATAATTTCGAAAATTCGGGTTAATTAATCACGTGGAATAACACACAATAGGCTCATAAAACTATTTAACTCATTATTAAGGGAGGGAATTTTTCTATTACCTTCTATATTCTCATATAGCATTACACTTAAAACTCATATAAAAACTATATCATTGCCAAAATGATCATGTATTTATTGACTTCTTCTCATTTTTCAGAAGAATCTCATAACTCCATGGTGGTGTAAGACTCCTTCGTAGGACATGTTTTTATGTCAATAGGGGAATGTATTCATTGTATATGCTTATACTCCCTTATGCATAAAAGGGGTTATCAATACCACGTAACATTCTACATTCTCCTGTTGTGAATAAATAGACGCCCGTTATATCATCCTCTATAGTCCTAGATACGGACAAGAATGAAGTTACTGTAGGACTTATTATACTCCATGAACTCAGCACAGATTCAAGGTATTATCTTTCGTTATTCCTTTGTTTATATGTTAGAAAACAGGAAACCCTCGATTTCATATATCTATTTTGTCAGAGGGAAAGATCTGCTGCTCACATTATTCCTTATTTATCACCCCTACTGTGTTCCTGGGTTGTATGCTTTGGGTGTAGTGTTTAATCTTCATCCCTTGAGCATTTTTCCCCTTATCTTTTCTTCTCGTGTTGTCTCTTCTGTATGTATTAATTATGTACCTTCCCTTTTAGGCATTTCCACTTTGATCGTCATGTCTATATCCTCACTGGCTTCTGGTTTATTTATATGGAGTTACATATATCTCTCTTCGTTCTTCGAAGTAGATAATTTTCTCAAATATGTCAGTTGTATTCGTATATACATTCTATTATAGTCATCGGCTTTTATATAGGTGCTCCCTCCCTTTTTAGTTTAATGATTCTTTAATATCTTATGTGTATTCTTATTGTTCTGCTCACTTTATCCTCTTGGTGCGTTCCATGTTATTATTATTTCTAACTTTCCACGAGAAACAGCTCGTTCTATATAGTAGTATTCCTTTTATAATTTCCTATTCCTTTCTAGAGTATAAGCAGTTTAATCTTTCATTTTACATAATTGTTATATTCTAATAGTACCGCCTCGATTTCAAGTCTTGTTAAGAGGAAAATATTACAGATTAAGGCAGGTGTTCAAATCTTCCGTAATCATTGTTTCCTAATAGTCCCCGGATAATTATTGAATCTATATTACAATAATATTGAGAAGGAATAATCACAGTTCACGATGTATTACTGTACTTACCGTGCTACTTCGCCTATAAACAGTTCCTCCTATATATAAGCAACCTTGGTATGTTGAAACCCCTTTTAGTGATAGTATCCCTCAGTTCCTTATACAGCATGAATAGCTTTAGGATTTGTATATGCGTATTCTTGGAATGGAATTATTTTACAAGCCAGTGTATTGGTGAAATGGTATGATTTTTACAATTGCTGTTCTCCTCAAGGAATTCGACTCCCTAAACCTTTTTATTATCTTAAACAATTCTCCCTCTCACAAAGCACTGTTTTACATAGAATATTACCCTTGACAGAAGCTTATCCTCTAAACAGTTGTTGTAAGGCCGCTTCTTAGAGTTAATACAAATATACCGCAGGCATCTCGTATTTTCTATATATGTATAACGCTCAGCGATTGGAACCCCTCCAAGAATACCGCTGAATCCACTCTATTATCTCTTACTAAATATCTCGTTTTAAATTATGGTGCCGTCTTCTTTAAATCTTGACAACTCCACAATAGGGACTTCCCGGAGTTTCCTACTGTTTAGGCATTGCTACTTTAGAGAAATGTCTCCTTCTCACATACTTAATAATGGTCGCGAAGAATTTATTCCTTATATATTAGTCTCCCAAGGAAGTGTATATCCTCCGCCTCATTCTATTCTTCACATAATAGCACCCGTTTGCCTAACTTTTCCATATAAACGTATTCCAGTCATAGTCATAGAACGCGCACGATTATGTTCCTGATATCATGATTCCCCCTCGAGATATGTTATCTTCAGCCAATAATAGTCTACACATAAAAAAAACTGTAAAATATGAACCTCATGCAGAATAATATTCAGGAGAAATGTATACAGTACAAAAAATAATACTGGAGGTATAGACGCATGGTTCATAGAATAGGACTGTATGCTAAGCGTACATTGCACAGGCCCGTATTCCTGGGGGAAGCGATATTTTTTAAATAATACTACACATAAATCATTATTCCTCAATTAGTCACGTTCTCCAATTATTGGTATCTAAAACGTTATGTTATGAGGCCTTCACATAAAAGCATTCCTGCGACACTGTACATTACAAAAAACATTTCCGCTAGAATCCTTGCATAGTCCATATGCTAGTATTTTTGTTTCTATTGTATTACTCCGGCAATAATACATTCGGCACATCTATAGCGCTTACACCTGCGCGTAATTAATGGCTTCCTGTTTTCTTTAGAATGTAGCCCTCAATTCTTCACATAATACTATTTCATAGAGATCTATGCTCATCAATGACTGGTGTCGCCCAAAGAATATGAAACGAAAGTTGGAACACATATCCCGCAATTCACACACCTTTGCATTTTCGATGGGCATATTGTAGGAAAATCCCTATCCTTCAAAGGACGGTTCTTGAGAATACTGGTATCCCTCATACAATACTGTATTTTGAATATCATTGCACTCCACAGAATGCCACTTCTGATTTCTCCTTGTCTCTACATATCATATCAGTGCAGGGACAATAATTTCTTTCAAATGAAGGTGCTACAACCTCTGTGTTAGCTCTCAAATATTTTCCCTTCCTTACAATAACAGCATAAGCGGTAAACCTATACAATAATATTCCTGATACACCTGTATTCGTTACCAGCATTGACACTTTAGACACATTTGTCCAGTCTATATGATCTTACCGTTTATATAATAATACACCACATATATCTGTTTACTTCATAGGATGGTTTTATTCATACAATATCATCGTAGGCATGGATGACGGGTAAAGATAATGATACGGCATGCATGTTCATACACATTAAATGATAGTACTCCCGGTACAGTAGTATTCACTTCACAATGTTATTCTTAATATATCAATACTGCGCAAATGTCGCCACTATTCACATAATAGTACTCTGGGAATGATAACACTAGGAGCCAGTAAATAATTCGCACACAATACTACTTCACGCAAAGGTGTACACTTGATCGAGCGGTACTCCCCCAATAATGCAGTTCCACACATTATACGGCTGTTAATATAATAACACTCCAGGAAGTGTTATGAATTCCGGAATAGGGTGCTTTGCCTATAATAGAAGCATAAACAGTAGGCCATGATGTTCCACCTCTTTTAATAATTGTGCATGGGGGGTATCCAGAATCCCACCACTATTGTGCACTCCAAGACATCACACTAGGGATATATGAGGACACTCACAAAACTGCGCCGCAGATCATCCGTACGTTTTATACAATTATTCGCTTAAATGAACAGTACTCTGCAGATATCAGTATAGATCAACCATTAATACATTGATATAACAGTACTACGAGAATTTCTGCATTCGTCACCATGGGGGGGACACATGTATACTTCCTTGTCATCTACCCTTGTAGAATATGCATGCACTTCATAGAATATTACCCTACGAATAATGACACTCCTCCAAAATCACTATTCTTGACACTATAATACGGTTAACATTATAGTGGCCTTGGCATAGCTCTACTGTTTAGACAATATGATTCAAGGCCACCTGTGGGATTCGCAGAATCGCCCAAGTTATATCATCCAGCCATTAAACCAACATGACGACCCATCAAATAATGTTATTCCAAGGACAGTTGTACTCATCAGGAGAAACTATTCAGTACATAACATTAGTCCTTTTGAACTAACAAGGCAATTCACACATCCATGTGTCCTACACAAAGGTATCCTCTATACGGAGGTACTACGGCAATTTCCACACGTCGCGTAACGGTGGCATCTCCTCATACGGCACAAAGCTAAGTCATAAATTCTGCACCTCTCTCTACTTTACTTAATAATACCGGCTTAACTTTGCCACTCATCAAATGGCATGGTACAAGCCATATTAGGCATCTTTAGATATGAGTACTATACATACATCTGTAGTGTCCCCATAACAGTACTCCAAGTCATTAATACTCCTTCAGCAAATATCCTGTTCAAATGGAAGTATTATCCACACAATAGTACTTTAAACAGGACCGTACTTTCTGTATTAACCTACTCTATCAAAGAATCGTACTCCAAGGCTAATCTTACTCATAAAGGGAAAACAATTGACACATCATGCTTTCGTCTGTATAATAGCACTCAAGGTGATCCATATAGCTCGACTACTAATACTTTCATAGAACAGTACTATGGGGACTTCTGGACTCCTCACCATTTAGTATCTACAGGCATCAGTAGATTCTAGACAATTGTTATACTGGAATATGTATAGACTTCACAGAAAATTGTTATTCATATAATGAAAGCATAAGCTCGGAATCTTTTACATACACTAGTACATGGACAACAGTATTCGTCACATAATAGTAGTAGACGTATATCCGCGTGCATCACTACCAAGGAAAATCCACACCAGTATTGTACAAGTAATGGTACCCCAAGTGTATATCATGTGTTCAAATACCAATAGAATAACCATGTTACAATTCTCCACACGTAAATATTACGAACTCTTGGGTAGGTTCCATATAAAGTGACACTGGAGGATATCCGTACCCCTTACGTAGAAGTACTCCTTATATATGTCTCCTCCAAGCGGTTTCCAAGGTTCGAACGATTTAGTTGTTCGTACAGTATCTGAATACTCTCTGAACGCGCATATAATACTACGGCTGGTACACCATTATATTTCACAAGCATGGACACTTGCGACATCTTGCAGCAACTTACACAGTTGTACCCTTTATATAAGATTACAGCACGTATATCTGTGAACTTCATCCAATGATTTCATTCATATAATACTATTCCTGAGACACACATACAAGCTAGAAATAATGATACCCCCTTCATGTCAGTACTATTTAAATCATATTACTCCGGCCACAGTAGTACTCATCCCCACAATGTTATTGTTGACATATCAATACTTCGCACACGAGTGGAGTATTAACCTGACGATACTCTGGGAATATCAATACTTGAAGTTAAGAAATTATTCTCACACAAGGCTAATCTAAGGATATCCCTACCCTTGGTAAACCGGGGCTGCTAAAGTCATGAATCTTCACGCAATACACCACTCTTAAAATAATAATACTTCAAGGACTGCTACAAGTTCCACACAGTAGTTTTGTGCGTATAATAGAAGCCAAAATCCTGGGCCTTGAACTTGGCATCCTTCAGATAGTTGTGCTTCAGGGACATCCAGAATCTGCACACAATTGTTGTCCGTAAATGACAGTACTACACACATATTAGTATACTCACAAAATATGGTTTCCGATTATGCATACTACCTACCGAGGTATTCTATTCAGAAAACAATGCAGAACAGATATTACAACAGGGCAACCATTAGTACCATTATATGACGATACTACGACAACTTCTTTAATCATGGCCATTGAAAATCCATACATATCCGTGCTGTACACGCGTGAATTCTGCTTCAATATGCATACACTCTGCGGAATAGTGCTCTCCAAATAATGACACTCGTAGACTATCAATATTCCACACACAGAAGTAGAGTTTACATCTTAGTACGATTCGCACCATAGTGCTATTGAGATAATGGTGTCGCCAACATTCTTTAGGGGTTGTACAATCCTGTACTTCATATAATTGGGCCATTAAACTTAAATCTAGACCCTTCACATAATAATACTCCAAAAACAGGCAGGCTCATATAGGCACACCATTCGGTACATTAACCGTAACACTCTTCAAAGGTGGGAACACTGAACAGGTACACGCGGTTCACACTATAGTAACGTCAATATAAAGCTATTACGGGAATGGTTATACCCTCCATGATGTAACTCTCTGAATAGGATAAGACATTATGCCATATATTTTATGCGCTTGAACATACATTACTCGAAGTACTGATTTAAGTTTGTGACGCTTCGAATAGGAATGTACCAGGCATCTTAGCACTTTGCGGATATGAATACGGCATATAGTCAAGTACTCTTCAGTTAATGATACTTCGAGTCATCGATACTCCTATACAACTGTGCACTTCAGATGAAGGTATTATCCCGACAACAGTATTGTTAACAGAACGGTATTACTTTTACACGTCTACTCTCCAAAGAATAGTACCCCACACATTGTCCTACTAATGAAGCTACATAAGGGCACAGACAATGCTATCCGTAGCACAATAGCACTCCTGGAATATCAATACTCAGGACAAGAAACTGCTTTTAACATCATCATACTTTCGCAGTAACAATACTCTTTATGTAATAGTATTACAGATGACGTCTACCATTTACGCAATCCCGCACATGATGTAATGAAGTCATTAAACTTACGTAAAAACACTTGACCTTCACATAATCCAAGGATAAGCTTCTTCCTCGAGATACATCTCTTCCTATATAACAGTATTTTTTTTCAAATAACAGTGCATTTGAAAAATTAAAAAACTCGACATAGAAGTATCCTTCACATAAAAATAATACCGGAGCTTGTTCACTCTTCATACCATAGCTCTCCGCAAATGATAGAAGATTAAGCCACATATGTCCTATCACCAATACACCACTTAATACGACTGTATTCACTTCTACACCATCCAGATAGCGGTGTACCAAGCACGTCAGATATCTCCAGATAGGAGTACTATACATACGTCTGTACTTTCCTCATATTGACATTGCAAATCCTGAGGATTCACTAACATATTGTGTTATTTAAATAGAAGTATTATCCACACAACAATAATTGAAATATGACGCAATTCGTCATATACACATACTCTTCCATAAAACAGTACTTCGAATATAATAATATTAATCATGGCACAACCCATAATGGTGACGCTTAGTATGATAGCATTATAGGTCATGCAAATAGTTCAACTACTAGCACCTTCATATAACGATAACATGAGAATCTCAAGATCGCGGACTATTGAGTATTCAGACACTTTAGTACGGTTTAGGCGACAGTTGTAGAATATTCATGCACTTCACATAACACTACTACAGGTGCATCCCGGCGCTGCGCAGGCGTCAGAAGCGCATACAAGTATCCTACAAAGAACAGTACACCAAGCGGGCTTGTGCTGCTGATGTAACGAACCGATAAGCATGTCAGTACTTTGAACATATAACTACTACAGGAACGTCAGTAGCTTTCGTACAATAACACTCCAGGAAATCCTTATTCTTGACGCAAACTTCCTCCTTCATTTAACAGTGTTATCCAGGTAACACGGCTATCCACCTAATAGTACTCCATGAAAATCATCATTTCTAAAGCAATAATAGAGCAGGATAAAGGTGCCATCCACTACATCCGTATATTATTCATGTTTGTTAATGTTACCATATCCGTATGGTCATGATATCTACACTTCACATAGGTGGCCATCCTCATAATAGCCGAAGTAAGGGAATATTTTCATAATGACTCCACATAGAAAAAAAAGGGAATGGGACGATCAGAGTGTTAAAGAAGGAAAAATTCTAATAAAAAAGAGTGACATACAGTACAACCTACCCACAAGGATGAAGCCGGAAGGGGATCTTCAGAATGATACAGCCAAAACATCCCTTCAGAATGACGAGACCAAAAAATATCCTGAAGATACCAGGAGAACAAAGCATCTTCATAACAGAAATAAAGAACAAAACAGAATCTTAACCATTCCGCAGAAGAGGGGCATTTTCATAGAAGAAATCACACACCAAGGGACATCTTCAGAATATCACCAAAAAAGTAAATCATCATAGAAAGAATGAAACAGAAAAAACATCTTCACCAAGCCGCAGGAGAAAGGAGCATCCATATAAAACAAAGGAAAGATAGCACTATATATACTCAAGCTGGTACCGGAAGACAGCATCATAGGAATGCAGCAGAGAAGAAATATCTCCATAAGAACAACGGACTCGCAGAAGAATATCTTTCCGGTAACATGACCGAAGGAGAAGGCATCTTTATAAAAGATTCAAACAGGAAAAGATCATTGATATAACGCGGTAAGCGGAATCTTGGTAAGTAAAATACCACACGGAAAAAAATTCTCACCATGACTCCCCACAGCACATGCCATCAGGGCATCCGAACAGGAAACTATCGTCAGGAGAGATGTGAAACACAAACAGGAATGTTCATAGTGACAGCAGGAGAAAACATCTCTATAAGAATGAAGATCCAGACAATATATTAAAAGTACAACGCGATAAAATGAATCCTGGGAAGGAAGAGGCCCCCCCAGGAAAATACACTTCACAATGACGCAACATAAAACAAGGGAACTTCCGAAAAGTGGAGCAGGAGATATCATCTTGAAAAAACTGCAAGATACACAAAAATCTTCATATTAACGCAACAAGAACGACGTAGGTATTCGAAAATGTAACACAACTAAACATTATTATAATGACATGCCAGATATAAGCATCGTTAAAAGAATGCCACACAGGGAAAAAGAATCACGATGCCGCGGCGAAACAGTACACCTCACAGTGACGTAACACCACAAAAACACAATGATCCGGAGGGAGAATCCCATAACAATGCAGGAGAGGAGATGAAACCTGATGAGAAAACTACACAAAAAGAATGGTGATAAAAATACAGAAGAGAAAGGCATATTCATAAAAATCCCAGGGGAAGTGGTATCTTCATAGAGGTGTTGCCAAAAATGTCATCATAAAAAAAACCTCCAAAGAATTTTCGTTAAAGAGATGCAGCAAAGAAGTGTATCCTCATGAAAGAATTAAGTAGAGAAATACATATAATAAAGCCAAACAACACAGCGCGCGTGCGACCGCTATAACCCATGAAGGGAACCACGCAAAAAATTGATACACATCAAGAGACTTTGGGAACGAAGCCACATGAAGCCACGTCCGCGAAGAATTAAGCCACCTAAAACTACGTTGGGAAAATTACGCCACATAAAACTACGTTGGCAAAATTAGGCCACATGAAACTATGTTGGCAAAATTACCCCACGTGAAACCACATTCGCGAAATTAGGCCACATGAAGATGCATATATACAAAAGAGGCGCCATGAGAAAATACTCTCATAAAGTTGCACAAAACATGAAAAAAAACACTAATGGAAATGATAAACACGAAGGCGCATCAGCAGGCACTATGCAGCATCGGGATTGATATGGAAAGAAATTGCGATATGAATTAACACACTTATAAAGATACAGAAGGATGAGAAAACATACACAGGAAGAATGCAACATGAGGTTGCATACTGCTGAAAATATCAAAACATAAAACAGCACACTGACAGAAAGGATTCAGCATGAGGACGCATTCACAAAAATAAGGTAATTATAAAAGAAGCCATATAGACACGACAGCCCACCATCTCACGCTGTACTCATCGGATTGGCATATCTCTATCCCATTGCACTCATAGGAGTTTCCACAGAAAGGCATAAACACATTTAAACCCTATAGCAGCCCTCTCAATCATATGCAACACGCATTTAATGTTCAATCTGAAATCAGAACTGATATTATACCACTTCAAATTCAACAGTCCATTACTCCCTTCATATATGCATAGATGAGACACGTCATGAACAATCGTGTAATTTTAGGGGGAACATCTCTATGCGAAATGAACAATCTTCTAATTTGAATCAGCATATACTGATAACTATATCATCTTTCCGCGTAGAAATGTGTAGCACTGGTGCGATTCTCTGCTCCTTTAGTTCCATCTCTTCGTATTCCCCTCCTGTATGACGCCATATGGGCATCATATTCCACCTGGTTAACACCTCTTACTTCTATGACTCATGAACTATTCCCACATATAAAAGGGAAAAACTATACATATATATATATCCATGGGGATATGTCCCATGATAAGGTGTAAAGAGGTCAACAGAACATAGTCTCTTATCAATAAATCATAGCAATGTATAGAGCCATGTAAATTGTCCGTATCTCTGCAGCTAACATCCTCCTTATTTCTGTTGGAATCGATGAATCCCTAGTTCATACCCATAATGTAGATACCCTTAACACCCCCAAATGAGGAATGTCTTATGTCCCTTTCTTAGTTTACTACAATTCATGATATGAAGAATGGAAAAGTTGGTTACACTCACACATATCTGTTATTCCTAGTTTTTTCTTATGACTCAATACTTGAATTTTCTCTTAATCTTTATGTTGTATTTGTTGTAATATATTATAACCACCCCCACAATTCCTTCACTATTTCTCTCCCCTCTTGTACTATATATATCTGGGGATAATCACAATCAATTCTTGCATCACTATTCTCGTCATTGCCTATGGATCAGGTTTGGTTTTGATTGACATACTCTGATTCCGCCGTCTGTTCTGCTGATATACCTAAACACGTATTACTGGCATTCTTGTGTTTCTTCTCTTGTTAAGATTTGCCCATTATAGGTAATCCTCTGGACCAAATTAATCAGACCACGTTAACACATTTCTAGGAGTGATAGCGACGCCTAACCCGACAGGAGGAACTCTTAAATATGATTATTGCAATATCTTGTCCACTCCACACTCTATTGTGGGGCGAATAGTCCTTAACTCTTATTATTCACCCCTATACTTCTTCCCATTTAGTCAATCTTCTTATTCGAAAGCGACCCTTTCTTTAATTAATATTAGATTGATGTAATGACAGATTTAAGAGTTCCATTAAAACCACCATCGGCTGCTCACTTGATTTTTGAACTCAATATCCTTAACGATATATCCTCTAAAAAGATACTAGACTGACATGAATTGGCGTAATGTTATCGAGATAGATAACTATGAAGTTGTTCAGTTAATTATGAATTGTATACTTAGCAGAAATGTGTTCCACAGTTTATGCTTAATTGTAGGAAATTCTGTATTTTCATAAAACATCGCTTTCTACTTCGCTCTTTAGTGCGCCAGTATATTTTCACGCAACAATCAGTACACATCAATGAGGGACATGTCAAGTATTGCAAAATGTATGGGAAAAAAAAGAAAAAAAAAAAAGAACCAAGAAAAATACGCACAAACCTTTTAAAAGAATTCTCCCGTAAAACTCACCATATGTACGAAATCAGCATTATATTCGAATATGTGGATTATTACCATTTGCAATACCCATCCCAGTATACTGACGTGTGGCATGTTTCATATCACAACTGTTTCGAAGAAATATATTAGCGTTATTCCACTTATCAACATAATATTACCACACAGAGATATATATATGTATACATACGTATATATAGGTATATGTACCATTGTAGGGGTCAAGGAAAAATTACTAAAGTTTGTTGTCATATAATTATTCGCCTTCATTTTTACTAATTCTTTAGGTTCTTCATAAAGCTCGCGCCAAAGAGGAAAAGTGATCGTAAAAGAAGTAATGTATCTCAATAAACATAAAGTGTTACTTATAGAAGAGTGTTCCTTGAGTCTCAAATAAAGCACACATCCATGTTCCGAGCAAAACGCGTCTACATGGGATATAGGGCACAAAATTCCTTTTCTGCATGTGATTAACCCCAGCCCCCGCATTTTCTTTCAGGTGTCTTCTTCTTCCATGCATAAAATGCGACCATACATAAACGGCAAGAGACAGAAACGATGTCTATCATAAATATGAGGAGGAAACATATTTCAAATACGTAATTCTACACTAATGGTACAGCTTCCATGGAATCCACTTGTTCATATTTTCTCTTACTTTCTCCTTTCTTATATTCTGCTCACTGTAGTCCTATCCATAATGGATTATATGAAGTGCTGATCTCTGTTGTATATTTAAATATGTGTCAGTGTCTTAAAATTAGATAAACGTAGAGACAATGCATGCCATATTAAAACTCGGTTCCTTCAGATTCCTATAAATAATTAAAAAACCTTTCATTCCTATAAGACGATACACAACCCGTCCCTACAGCGTCCGAACGGTTTATTCTAAACATCACCCCCACACAACAGGCACTATCAATACTTATTATTTATGTACAACGTGGAGAAACACATGTGATATGATTGCCTTCACGCAGATTTCTGTTGTGTACCTTTTAAATCCCTCTCTCTATTAAAATAAATGAATATGTGCACGTTGGCACTCTTATCATCTCAAAATTCATTCTGTTCATATGGGCCAAGCAATTCCATGTACTCCCTCATGATGCACGGAATACTCTTCGCGAAGTGTCATGTAAAAAGCTTAATATTTGACGTCTCAACGGCGGATTTATATATCCTCTCTCAATCAGGCCATTTGATTCTTGTGTTAATCTGAACGCAGTTCTATTGTCCAATTCTTTAAGACGCCTTTTCGTTGTTACCCGCTCCTGGTGATAGAATTATGCGATGTTAACAGGAACCTTTATATTCCTGTTAAGGAATTCGCAATGGTTCCTTTGTCAGTATCTAGTCCAATGCCCAAAATACAAATACGAAGATTCACGGCCGTCCTGTATAGACACATTTACACCTGTTAATATCTTCCCGTGCACTTCTTTCTTGAAAACTATGTTGGAAACCCATCGTAGATTAAAAGAAAAGGGACAGCAAAAAGAAGAAAGGAAAGACAAGGAGATTCTTGTCTGTACAAATCCCGGGGTATACATAAATAACAGCACAAGAACAAAGGTTCACCCCTTCCATATTATCAGACGAAACCGTATCCAATGACAATCTCCTTTACAGTACCCTCACCTAATTAGAATCCCTTCTGCTGTTAAAAATTGTGACGTTAACATATTCTATCGACCTTCACTATGCTAAAACTGAATTTTCCATAAATATACGTTCCTTACCATGCTACACCCTAGACGTCATACCATACCACAACTGGTGTACTAGGGATCAGGGACCATCGAACTAATTGTGAGCCGCATAAAAAGAATATAAAGTGTTAGCTAAACATTCAAATATAATACAAGTTACACGGGACTACTTACACCATAAACCACATAATGTTACCACCGCCACTTCTGGAGGAGAATTTCATAATAGGACT